TGCAAACGTGTATCAAAAAAGGAAGATGTCCATATAGGAGGCACAAAATAAAACCGAACATGCGCCAAACATTATATCACTTATCCCAATGCCATCTACTGTATGCAGGGCTCTGAGATATAAACCTCTGAGATCAGGAAACCTGGTACTTCAGAGAATGGTTGGGGTTTAAGAAGTCAGTGCTTTTGGTAACAAAGGTTGAATTCCATATTTAACAAATGATTCCAAAATTATGACTTGAAGAAAAAAAAAAAAAGACATTCTCCAGCCATGTTTGTGTCCAGACGCCTGATGAACTGGGTCACTCTGAAATATACAGTTTATACCAGCTGCTACAGATGCTGTACGTTCCAAGGCTTCCTGTATATATTGAACCTTTTACCATGTTCATCCTGCAGGGGCTGCTGAGGATTCACCTGCTGGAGGCCCAGAAACTGGTTGCCAAGGACAACCTGATGGGTGGCATGGTGAAGGGCAAGAGTGACCCCTACGTCAAGATCAGCATAGGGGGGGTTACATTTAAGAGTCGCATTATCAAAGAGAATCTCAACCCAACATGGAATGAAATGTATGAGGTATGACGTTCTCTAGGTTGAAGCACTGGACATCATCTGTATATATATTTATTTACAGGACAAATACAGATTTTGTTTGTTTTAACAGCTGGTTTTGAGTGAGCACAGCGTCCAGGAGATCAAGTTTGAAGCCTTTGATAAGGATATAGATTCGGATGACTTCCTTGGCAGGTGTGTGTGTGTCTTATTTACTTTTTTATGTTTGTTAATTGATATCTTTTATTAGTACCTCGTCTGTCCTGTGTACATTGATCTGCATGGTAAGAATTACAACACTTTTGGCTTCATAGAATTTTTCACTGAAATTCATCAGTGTATAACAATGAATACATTATTATGGTTTATGGACCATAGACTGCTTTTTAAAAAAGACAAACTTTAGCACAAGGGCAGCTAAACTGGTTCACAGAGGACCCGCAAACTAGGAAATACTTATGTTTGGTTTTGGGTCTATAAAGTATTTACCTGAGGAGCATTTATAAATACCTGTAAATAGTCTGTATTGTTCTTACACTAATGTCAGCACAGGAAATTTTAGTTTCTGGAAGTCAAACTCTGAAGATAAACTCCTGTTGTTAATTGTTGCTGTGGCTTGTTTTCATGTTGACAGATTCAGCATTAAGCTAAATGAGGTCATCAGATCACAGTACACGGATCAGGTTAGTCAGTAACTTGTGACCTTGAAGTCATGGCATGACTCTTACATTTCCTTATACTTGCTTCTGTCACTGACTTTGTTGCAGTGGTACACTCTAAATGATGTGAAGTCCGGACAGGTTCACTTGATACTGGAATGGGTTCCTAAAGTGTCAAGTTCAGCAAGACTTGACCAGGTCAGTTCTTACCCACTGCATGCAGCTTTATCACCCACCGGCTATAGCCTCAGTCTGTTTGGACTAAATGTACCCAGGAAAGCAGCCAAGCCTCCAAGTCACATTCCAGCAGGCAGGGCCCATTATTTACATAGCAGCCTAACTGGCTGTGCTCCATGTCGCAGGTACTGCAGCTTCAGACTCTCCAGTCGTATCAGAACAAAGCTGTCCCCACTGCTGCTCTGCTCTTTGTGCATTTGGAGAGAGCACATTCATTACCTGTAAGTCACCTGCATGTTTCGATTGTGCAGCAGAAATTATGCATTATATAAACAAACTTAAACACCTCTCTCTTCTTTATCAGTTGAAAAAAAGTGGTAAGGAGCCCAAAGCAGGAGCTAAGCTTATTCTTGGTGAAACAACATACAAAACCAAAGTGAGCCCTCTCATGCACAGTTCTCTATACTCAGTCTGAGAAGTAGTGATCCTTTTAGAAGCTCACTCTTGTCATTGCTCTCTTTTAAGATGTGCGACCGCAGCAACAGCCCTCAGTGGAATGAGTGGTTCTACTTCCTGGTCCGTGACCCTAAACATCAGATGCTTCTAGTAAAGGCAAGGCATTCATCTCTTTCTCTGCTGCTGGTTATTGCATCTGTTTGCTGTCGCAGAAATTTTCATTCTCTCTCTTTCGTGCATTGCAGTTGTCGAGTGGCTGGGTCCAGCCAATAGGAAATTTGGTTCTTCCTGTCAAGGAGCTGCTTGCCAAGCCACAGCTAGTCCTGGACCAGTGGTTGGATCTGGACGGAGCTTCTCCTGAGAGCCAGATCCTGCTGAGGGCTGAGCTCAAGGTGCAGCATGAAACACATCTGCACTTAAACACTTTAAGTAGTTTATATATGTATATAGGCATTTCTTTGTTGCTGTTCTTAATTTGTTTTCAATAGATTCTGAATTCCAAAATGGTGGATATGATCAGTGCCGGGACTCTGCCCTGTGCTGCCTCTGCTGGAAATGGGCAGGTGAAGCTGTCTCTCTCATATGCCTCGCAAGAGAGAAAGCTCATTATCATCGTCCACGCCTGCAGGTGCGCTTCCTCAAATAGCGTGCATCACGTTGTGTTCACTCCACTGGTGTAGATAAGGGATTATTTATATGAGTCTAGGTTAAAGGATAGGTCTGTTGTTGTTTCACTTCATACTTTATAACAAATTTGCTTACCATTTAATATCATAGTCCAAACTCAGCGTTTGTTTTAGTTTTGAGAGGTTTACCATTCCGCTGTAGCATCTAACTGGGCCCAAACACTGTGGGAGGAATTACAAAGGACCATATGTCTCACTGTCACAAACAGGACTTTGATTATGATGCGATACGATAACACTATTATCAGATAAAATCTGAAATTTGTCTTGACACTAGGCAGCTCCAATGCAAGACCAAACGATGACAATCACAACGCATTAACAATAACAGTAAACCACCGCATAGTTATTACACTATGCTGCTCTAATATAGTGGGACTTTTTTCAATATCCATACTCTTTAGCGGGTAAATTATTCTGAGATGTATATTTTTCCCTGTGTACAGAAGTCTTTTGTCTCAAAGTAAAGATGGTGTCGACAGCTACGTCTCGCTCTTGCTGCTGCCAGACAAAACCAAGGCCACCAAGAAGAAGACAGCAGTGAAGAAAAGAGACCTCAACCCAGAATACAATGAGAGGTAATTAATGAACTGGTAAAATGCACTGTCATTATATTTCTTGTGAGATCTTTGTTGAGCAACCCTCTTGTCTGCTTCTCATCATCCTCTGTAAAGGTTTGAGTATGACCTGCCTATGGAGGAGACAAGATTCAAATGCCTCAGTGTTTCAGTGAAGAATAACTCGTCCTCGTTCAGGGGCCGCGACATTATTGGGCAGGTCAGTCTAAGACTTTACTTACATCTGCCCCACTTAACACGGCATGACGCACACAAATTTATTGCATCCCATACACACTGACAGACTTTACAGTAATTTTGGCAGTAGCCAATAATGCATAGCTTCACAAATAGATACATGAGTGACCCATAGAGTATCTCAATATTTATAGAATTTGGATGAATCCACAGCAGCAGGTAGTATTAGCCTGACTAGTAACTTACATACAAGACGTGTGTGTGTGTGTGTGTTTGTCCCTAGCTTTAAAATTCTTTCACTCTTAGTGTTTAGTGTTAATCTTGCAGTGGACTAAAGATGTGCAGAACTATGGCATATGTTAACATGTCATTCCTGTTCTTCAGGTGCAGATTGAGTTGGCTGAGGTTGACCTGATTTCTGGTGTCACAGAATGGTGAGCTGAGCTTTCTTTACAGTGAATTTAAAGTTTTTAGTCATAGCCCACCACAGATGTATCTTATATCCATTTAATATATTTCGTAAACAAACAAGCATCCATCAATCACCATCTGTTGATGTGAAAGGGGGCTGTGCGACGTTGGTTGGATAGAAAATGGAGGCTGTGATCAGCTTGAATTAAATTCAGATTCCATTTTCATGGTAGAAAACCAGTTACAATTAATCAGTATTTTACTAAAATATAGCTAAATACACTGCTACCACTGGTGCTGTGCAGCTTTGAGGAGGCCAGCAGCAGCGTGTTTACAGTAGACTTTAATTTAATTGAAATACTGAGTTCATGTATGCACAGCAGAGAAATGGATGATGCAGCAGGAGTGGTTTGAGAAGTATGCACATTTTATTTATTCCAGGTTCACTCTGAAAGACGAAGCTGAATAGTCGCTCTGCTCGCTGTTGCCGTATAGTGATAAAGATGTCATCACTCAACTCAGCATTACAGTATGTCTTTGCTGCAAGTCACACTGATGCCTTCTCCTTCCCATCTCTGCTTGGTGTCGCTGTGGCAGCCTTACCTGCACCCGCCCAGCTTTGTCTATCAACATATATAGAAAAGAGCTGCACTATACGTACATAGATCAGTACTCTCACCAAAGATTAGTTGGCTGAAGTATACGAGTTGTCAAGGACAAAGTGCAAGTTAGTATTGACTTAAGGTTTCTTTATAATATGAAGAAATATAAGATTGAGTGGAACAAGTGAAAGATGTATACATTGAAGCCATTATTTTATTACTCATATCTTGCTAATGCCATTTAAGTATGTTGGATCTGTTGTATTACAGGCTTACATTGAAGTTATTTTATATTTCACACAATTACCCTGTATTGTGTTTGACAGTGCACTGAAAATTATCACAAGATTTGTTTCTCTGTTAGTACTAGACTTGTTTTTGTTACACCTATTCACAATTAGATCAGTTGAATTCTGTGTGTATATTTGCAAAAATTATAAATCAGATGGGATACTGCGTGTTGTAAGATGGTAACAAAAATAAAAAAGAACTGGCGACTTTTGGTTTTACTGGATCCATTTTTATAAAGGTACTTGGGTAGAATTACAGATGTAGCACTTTTAGAAGCATAATGTAGTTGCTATATGGTACCAAAAGCACCTACAGTATGTAGAATTACCGGTTTCAGACTAAATTTATTTACCTGTTGTGTTTACGTGGTAGCTGGTAAAGGCGGGGCCAACGACCGGGGGAGACACTTTCACTTTCATTTAGCAGGAAAGACAAGCGTTCAAAGGATAAAGCTGGGAGAATGGAGAAGGTAAGGTGTCTGTGTTATTAATCCATTAACTGTGCTGTATGTGTTCACAGAGTAGAAATAAAACTTGCGGCATAACTTTCTGTCAGAGGTTTTGTTTTAGAAATGGAGGAAATAAGCGGAAAGACAAATAATAGCCTAGAAAAGTTCGCGTCAGCCTGTCTTATAACCAAAAGTGGTTCAAGGATTTTATTGTCAATTCACCATATGTGCAGAACATACAGAAAATCTAAATACCGTTTCTTTCTCACCTAGTACTTGGGTGCCATAACATTTAGGAACTAAAGTAGAATAAAATATAAAAGAATAAGAACTGGATTGATATAATTAGGAGAAATCTAAATGGTACAGCCAATAAGGTGTGACTCAAAACGGTGTACAGTCAATGACAGCAGTGCAAACAATAACAGGAGATTGTCAGGTGGTTCAGCATCACCAGGGCGTTGGTTATGATGTGCAAATAGCACATGAGGTATACATGGACAGTATTGCAATGACCAACAGCAGCAGATATCCAGGCAAAAAAAAAACAGCCAGCAGCAGATTTACATATAACATAACAGCAGGCAAAACACCGAGCTACACCTCACGCCAAAACTCGGGAAACCCCTTTCCAGCTCCTCAGGGGTAGACCAATGAGGACAAAACTCAAAGTCCTACCTCCGGCTAAGGACAAAGGACAGTATAGTCATGTCAAGGCTAGAGTTGCTTGGCAACAGACCACGAGTGCGCTTTACACGAACAAAAGGAGACATGCAAAACCGACCAAGATCACTGTTGGAGCTACTGTCAGGGTGCGAAAACCTTTTCAGGTGGGCAAAGGAGAGATGCAGTACAGCGATACATAGTTGGTACAGCAGCAGACTGGTTTGAGCTTCTTTATTCTCAGTGATGGGAAAAGATGGAATGCAGCACGCCTTTCGGCTTGCCCAGTGTACCCAGAGGAAATACAGAGGAGAGAGGAGAGCTGCTATGGTCAGCTGCAAAGCTGGCACCAGGGACACGTCACGGTTGATGTTCCTGTGTAGAATGGGGCTAGCCCAACCGAAGAGATAAATGTATAGGCCTGTTGTGGTTCAGGGTCTTTCATCCTTCAGCTGCCTGCGTGCATGTTGGGGGGTGCAAGATACCTGAGCGTGTAATGTTAATTTTTACCTGTGTTCATTGAGTAAATCAGCACTGTATTGAAGCTACTTGGACTGCCTCGTCTCTCAGAGTTAGCATGGTACAAGAACTGGAAGACTTCAAAACACACAGAGAGGAGAAGGAAATCTTGAACAAACACAGACATTGACACAACCTCTCATGAAAAGGGAAAGACAACCACCACCTTGGACAAAAGATTATGTGATGAAATGAGTTAATGTAGTAGTAAGCATGGAGGGTTAAGGCACTGTCCTATTTTGTTAGTTAAAATGTGAATTACAGTCATTGAACTTTAAGTGCCTTTCAAACAAAGTTGTAGATGGGAACTCGCACATTTTGTTGCCTCCCTGTTAGAAAGTCCAGCAGCCAGTTGCAGAGAGAGGTTTTGAGTCCCAAGATGTATTCATTTAAGTTCAGTAATTTAGCTTATGGTGGTTTATTTCATTGCAGTAGTACTGTTTGACATTACAGATGTTACAAAATTTATATTCCAAGGTTAATATACTATTGACATGCAAAGTCCTGTTGCTACAGTTTTGTTATAATCTAGCTTACTAAGTGAGAAATGTTTCTTTCAGGAAAAGGGGAAATGTTGTGTTCATGCTTGCAATAGCATAGCTGTAGTTACCTTGAGCACCAGAGGTGTCACTGGAGAGTAGGCCGATAGTCATTATAACTGGTTAGGTGGGGCTTCTTTGGAATTGGAATTATTGTGGCGGCCTTGAAGCACATGGGAACAACCACTTGGCTCAGAGAAAAATTAAAGTCGTGTCTCCTAAGTCCTTCGCCATAACACATACATTAATTTCACTGTCTGCAGTACACATGATCAGATTTACTACTGAAAAGAAGTAAATGATTAAACCAACCTACTCTTCAGACTCATCACTGTATTTTTCACTACATCAGCACAGGTTATGAACAAAACTCAAAACACACTGGCTTGTTTTCTGTACAAGTTTTAAAATCTTATTTAACAATGTTATTTAGTTTGCAATGTACTCCAGCAAAAATTAAACATTATACTCTTTCCAGAAGAAAAGTCTGAGTCTCCATGCATCACTGTGTACTATAAAAGCTTTTTTCTCCATTAAAAAAAGACTCATCAAAAAAAAAAATTGAAAATGCAGTGATTTTGCAAAAACGTTCTTCAGGTAAAGTGATTGTACTTCTCTCTGAATCAGACGAATACGACAGCATAAAATAACACTTGCTGACAGCTAAGCAAATAAAAACTTGTTATTGTAGTAACATTAAAGATTGGCGGTAAGCTTCACATGCATTAAGATATGGCCGACACATTTCTGACAGAAGCAGCATTATGGATCAGAGGCTGAGCGTAAGGATGTGTCAGAGCGACCAGAATGGTAGCATTAGCAGCAGCAGGGCACAGAGGAGGGTGAGAGATGAGAGCTATTTAGGAATAGAAACTCTAAGGACCAAATGTAATGCAATTAAGACCAAGTCATTACAAAACTGAATGTACACACTCTGATCCTCTAAAGGTAGAAATATAAATCTACTCACAAAGCCTGATGGGCCTTATCTGGAGAGAACTGACTGGAAAAATACAAAGACAACTGAAACACCCATATTGATCATTTCTCTCCCTCCCCGTTTACCATAATCGTATAATGGCCTCTCTTCCCTTCTGGAGGAAGAACGGTCACCTAAAAGGTGTAGAAATGACACTACCCACCAAATTCTGGTATCTGCTATGG